TACCATACCATGAAGACAAAGCAACTGTAGGATTCATTTATGGTTCTGAATATTGGTCCATTCTTTCCAGGGACCTTAATTTTCTTCAAGTTTTGGTGTACCGATGCCTTCATCGCATACCAAGCTTTCAAAGCATGTGCGAAACAAGGATGTGCTTGAGCGAGCGCTTGGGGACGCGTCAGAATGTCTGGATGAGCTGAGTCAAGGTGGTTGAGACAAGCATTATGCAATTCAAGAGATTTTTCCTGAGGACAAAGTGGAATCAATAGACAAAATTCACTCATTTGCAAACTACACTGGGGTTAACGAAAGATTGGACAGAATATCTCGTTTACGGCATGAGTAGTGCTTTACGTCAAGAAAATGTACCGTGATATCTCGAATATCCAACCGACCAGAAGGTCAGGTGGCTTTTGAGCAGCACATTCGAGATATTTATCAGCATCATCATCATCATCATCATCATCATCATCATCATCATCATCATCATCATCATCGAAGTCAGCTGGAAGAACCGTGTACTTGTCGTTTTTCACTTTTCCATTGCCGCAACTATCACTTGAAATCCGAGACCATACATGTTTGCACTTGTGTGCACTCGTTAGCCGGTTGGATATAAGGGAACTCGATCTGGTAGAGCTCGACACTATAATTCGGTTTGTTTAACAATGTCCGAGTGAAGTTGATTGCCTCTGGACATTCGTGATACCGGTAATAATTCGTTTTTCTCTCCGTCTGTACCAAAATTCTTTCCCGGATTACCAGCGATGATGTAGCTGCGTCTCTAAATCCAGGAAATTTTCTCTTCAGAATACACCACTCATTACTGCGGCCACAGTTTAAAAAATTCTGCCGCACTGTGATTTTCCAGTGGGCTTGTTTGCAACAGGGACTATGAGCACTACCTGTTAAGTTTAGTGCAATTGAGTGGGGTGCTTCCGCTTCCCAGGGTTACAAGAATTGACAGTCATACACCGTTAAGGAGACTGTTGTCGATTTCCAAGCACTGAAATGCCTAACCTCGTCACCCATTTCGATGGGTGAACGAGAACACGCAGCGTTTCACACCACATGTCTTCCAGAGCTATGTTTAGTTCTGTCTGGTGAAGCCACTGCACTGAGTAACTTATCGTCTTGAGCACTTATAGGCTGAGATTCCGTTGATCGTGAAAACACACGTCTGTCACCCCGTGAAAGGACAATTAAAACTTCAGTCAGTATGCTATCCACAAGTTTACAAACGTAGGGTGATTTACAAGGGTTTTGAATCCAAGTGGCCGCAAAACATCATCAAAATCTCTTGTAGATTTGTGCTGTAATTTTTTATCGCCCGTATTTTGATTTTTTTTGTTTTTAAACTAGTCGCTCATTTGTGGATTGCTTTCGATGGGATTTTACACCATAAATCATACACAGAAAGGAGAATTGTGATGAAAACCTTGGATGACCCCATATGTTACAAGGTGCACCGGTAGGAATGATGCGTTGAAGGTTAAAATTAGCCTAAAGTCCCAAACCGAACTGAAGGACATTTTACAGACAATCTGGAAGGCAAACTGCATACTAAGCTCAATATATCATATAAACTCACTCACTGAATTTCAGTCCATTCTAAATCAAGGAATGTAACACCCCTAACTCCTAAAGTTGTTCAGTTGTCTAAGTCAACTTTGTCAAATTTGTCCTGAACAAAAATGGAAATTACTTTCTATTCTTTTGCTTTGCAGGTACAAAAACTTGATGGAACTGGAGACAGAAATCAGTCGTAGCTATCCAAAACTACTTCCATCTTTCAACAATGTGATTGAAGATTTTCGCACGGAAATCATTTCGTCAAGGCAAGAACAGTCAAGTTTGGAACAAAACTATTTGAGGTAAGCACTCGTAACTCTTGCTGCCCTACAGACAACGGGTAGGACCGTAACTGACGGTTGTCTTGAGTGAGATACATTGAAAAAAATTCACAATAATGTAGGGTGACATCTGGGGGGCGAGAGTTAAAGGGATTTGACCATAATAAAAACCAAGCCAGTTAGAAGAAATACGAAGAATAGCAAATGGGAAAACGGCAGGCAAGTCAAATTTACTATGAGGCCTTTGCCCACAAGGAGAAGGAGGCTGATAACACTGAACAAGTAAGAGGGAACACTGTCAACACTCTCAAAAAACCAAATTAACTTCCAAATGAGTTTATATTCGATGATTTCGTGCAATTTGGTTCCGAGTAGAACATGACATTGAGGGAAACTCGGAGAATGCACCTACCTGATGAGCTCCAGGAAGGGCGAAACCAGTCGTGGGCTGTCGACGAATTTCCAGCAGCCTTATGAGTAGTACACTACAAAGATATACATGTATCGCGATATCTCCAATACCGTAGCGACTGAAACATGAGGCGGCCTGGTGCAGCACATTCAGTTGCCTGGAAACACCACAAACGAGAGATTCAGCTGGGTTCCAGGTGAGTCTCCCGCTAACACTCTCAAAACATTTTTTCTGTACAACGTTCTAGAATGAGGGGAGGGTTGGGGATATTCTTATCAGATTATGTGATCTGGTAAACGACCCTACTGGCTGTAACTCAGTAAAATATTCCGTAGTTTAGTCGGACACACTCCACTGCTTCTTCAAAAACCCCAACACTTCACCTATTTTTCACTTTCCGCAGCCTATTTTTGCACGAATGCGCACGTGAAAGCACCTGTTTGTGGAAAACCACCATTCTCGATCTACACCGGGGTCACACTGCGCTACAATCGGAGAGCTTGCATAGGATTCATTAAGTTTATCCCTCCGCGCTCACACACAGCTAAGTTAGAGCAGCCTCTATTGTTGCCCATGCAAGGATGCTTGCACCAAACGCAGGTGCGTTCCTGTACATATTTTCTTCAAAGACGCGGTGTGCGACTGGTGATCGGAAAACTAAGGTTCAAAAGACTTCGGCGGAATCTTGTCGGGCTGAGCCTTTTTTATTATGCCGATATAAAAAAACAAAAGGAGGGCCTAACAGAATAAAGCCACTGCAAGGTTGTCACTCTGTAAATGCTGTAACATTGTATGTTGTGGGGTTTTAAGCACATTGAAAATTCAAGAAAACAGGCCAGTCGATAAAAAGCGGCACTTCTTTGCACTTTATTCCTTAGGTGACTTGACTGCGGATATCTTTGCTGACCGCCTTAAACAGCCATAAAATCCATGTCCACTCCTCCAAAACTCTGCATCTCTCACTAGTATCCGACAGACCTTGACGTAAAAAATCATGATATGTTGACAACTAATTCCAAGACGGTTTATCAACATAAGCGTTCACAGCGCATCACTTCTCTAGGTCGTACAGCTCATCAGGTTCCTAAAGGAACCAGAAAATATTGACTGTATATGAGGTGTCCAAAGTTTCACCTCAGAATATCTGGTCGATGGGAGACATGTAGTTAATGGAGGCCTACTGGTCGGATTCTCTATCAAAAAGGTCAAAAACCATCTGAGGCACTCGGCATTTGTCTTCCTACACTCTGGGCTTTGCATAAAATCAATTTCTTCAATCCTCCTTACCGAATGGGTCCGGTGTTGTCCATCTCCCAGCCAGATGATCTTTATCTTTTCTCAAGCAGATCATCCTTTTCCTCGCCTCTATTTTAGTTCGCTCGTATGTTTTTCAGTAGCATACACCTTTTTATCTCTTAGAGGATAAACTGTCAGAAATAAGTTTGCGCTTTGCCAATAATATGTTCAACTGGCTAAATAATTAACAATAGTACTGACAACAGGAACAAACTCACCCAATCGTCCGACCTGCTCACAAGCTGCTAAAGGTCGCAGGCATCAAGCATATGCAGGCGACTAAATCGCATGTTGCAAACTTGTACACATTCTTAGCGAAATATACTGATTTGCGAACTAAGTTGGTTTTGCGACAGACTCACCTAAAACCCAGCTGAATCTCTCGTTTGTGATGTTTCCAGGCAACCGAATATGCTGCACCAGGCCGCCTCATGTTTCAGTCGCTACGATATTCGCGACATCGTGATACATGTACATTCGTAATGCACTACTCATGAGGTTGCTGAAAATTCAGCAACAGCCCACGACTGGTTTTGCTCTCCTAGGGGCTCATCAGGTAGGCACAAATGAGTGTATTTTGCTTAGTTCGTGCAATTTGGTTTCAAATAGAACATGAGGCTGACGGAAACTTGGGGACTGCGCCTATCTGATGAGCTCCAAGAAGATCGAAACCAGTCGTGGGCTGTCGATGCATTTTCAGCAACCTTATGAGTTGTACGAATTCCCCCGAATCAACGAGCCAACCACAATAAAATCTTGAAAAATGTAAATCTAAGGATGGTAGCTGAAATCTCAGTCCGCCGTTTTCGTTGACATATCATCTGCAGCATGAACCCCAGTTGACACTGTTTTTCAAATACTCTGAATGAAATTGTGTGATCATTTTGTCTTACAAAACGAAATTTCCTATTCTCTGTGTGTGGATTTCTCGACATTTCGGGGCGACGGATGTGAGGTAGGGTTCAAGAAAACCTGAGCTAAAATCTACCCGGCTTTAGGATGCTGACTTTAGGAAGATCAAGTAAGTTCTGCAGTGACGTCTATGGGCAGTGATCACTGGGCTATAAACAGGTTCCCTTGGGTTTAAAAGCGCTGTATGGAGCTTTATTGCAGAATTAGAGCATCCAATTTTAGAGTGAACAAGTTTGGATTGAGATAAATTCTGCTTACATACAACCAGTCTTCTAGCACTACTCCAATCTAGTAAGCATCAAAATCCTATGGAGGTGCGATCAGAGACTGGCCGTTAAAAGTCTACTGGTGACCCCATGCAAAATAAAAATAGGAGGCGATTACACCCCCATAACTAAACCCCTTATTCTTAATTAGTATTAAGTATTGTTATATTGTAGTAGAGTATAGTGTGGTATTCTCTGTCTTATTCCTTTTTAGAGTTGTATTGACTTCACAGTCTCATCGCATTAAGTGTTTTCTCTGTGTCAAACAAAATTATCCCAGAAACAGCTCTCTTAGTCCTGATTGACCCTCAGCACATATTCTTTAGCACAACTCATTGCTCGATTCTCGGTCATGGGGTTTAAACAGCGAGATTACGTTCGGGGAAAATGTTCGCTTCATCTATTTCGAGGGTGCCAGTAATTCGCCGGAAACCTGACGATTTCTTGCTGTGTCTAAATGAATCTAAATACGGCTACTCGAAGGTGACTACCAGAAGTTCTGCTATTGGGAACTTCGTATCAATAAGCAAGTCTTACGTAAAATTTCAGAGTCAATCATTTCCGAAGGGTTTTGTTCCAAGGATGGGCAAACCTGGAATAGGAGAATACGATGCATTCGTCAGTACAGTCTGTGCATCTAAATAAGAGTTTGTGTGATAGAGTTCTTGATAAGCTTGACTCGAGTCGGTTGTAACAGGCTTCGGGCGTTTGTTGGCCTTTTTTGGCTTATGTCTGCCAGATATGCAGTGTTCAGGAGGGTTTAACATACAAACGAACTCTGCGAAATATTTTATAGCAACTTTATTTTTAGTGAAGCGACGATGGTCTGTGAAAACAAGTGTTAGTTTTTTACCCAATTTAGCCTCACCTGTAGGTCTTCTTATGTCCTTCTAGGAAGCCCAGCAAAAAAAAATAAAAGAGTCGCTGCGACCGTTTATGAATTGCGCCATATCAATGCCATTAAAGACCGCCTCACATACTTTGAAGGGCATGACGATGCAACCATCTGTCCTGATAGCGAAGCAGTAAAATGGCAGTTTGGATCAATTCACAAGTAATGTTATCTACATTAAAATAACACCTAGTAGACGACCGAATTATGGGACAACTTGTGGTGACCTCGAATGCTATGCAAGCCCCTCACCGGGATGATGCCACGGATAAAGCCATATCTGTCACATGACCAGTGTGCGATGTCTTCTGAGCTGATCTACGGTGTTTATCTATGCTGTCACATGATTAAGATAGCAGATGGTGAGATGGAGGAATTCGCATTATCCAGACGAATGTTTTCAGATTATCTGTAGGTCAAACTTGATACCATCACGATCACACTAGACTTGATACGACATGCTACCCTATACTGTATCTATGTGTTACGTATACATATATATATGCATATATATATATGCATTATGTAAGCCATATATAACATTTCCACAATGACCACTATGCTGCAATATACTATACTACCATACTATGCCATGAATACCTATATCAATACACGATATGTATGGTGTATAGTATATGCAATATACACATTGTAGTGTTATATACATAGATACACACATATATAATCAATACCCAATGCCCTTCTCTCCCCTGCCCGAATTGATGAACCATGCCAGTGAAAAAGCAGCTCGTAAAAGGGACTTGCTCCATATGGAGTCGGAACTTGAAATGCAAATCCAGCGAATAGAAGAGAGGACAAAAGAGGCAAGTTTTGACTTTAACACGACAGCCTGTATTGGGTAGAGTGGCAGCAAAACACGGTTGACATTCTTCTAACCATGCTACAAGTGAAAATATTCATTGACAGTTTTAACTTAGTGCATCTGAATTTTTGCTCCTCTCAGGCCTCAGGGAAGTTCTGTGGTAATTTTAGTAATTGTAGTTCGTAGGCATGGAGAAAAGCAGCCAATAACGATCTTGTTCAGACTGAAATCTCAGCTCATTGATTAAGTGGATCCAGGCAAATATATAAGCCATGAAGTACCACGTTCACAGTCAAAGTTTACTGATGGTATCAGGTACGCATAAATTTATGCAACACTACAAATCCCTGAAGAATGAGAAAACATATGGACTGAAGAGTGACTTTTCATCACGGGAATGGTGTCTACTCGACTAATTAGGTCGTTGGCCCTCAGTCGTTCCCCGTCGACATATTGTGATTGTATTTCCTTGTGTACCCAATTTTGGCTCTGGCCATCTTTTCAACAGGCGGAAGCCTTTCGGATAAGTCTCGATGAATTTGAGCAACTTGCCCACCAGCATTGTCCAGCTGGCATGGATTGAACAACTCCTGATGTTCTCATAAAGGAAACTACTCACAAGGTTGCTGAAAACTCTTCGACAGCCCACGACCGGTTTCACCCTTCTTGGGGCTCATCAGGTAGGCGCAGTCCCCGGGTTTCCGTCAACCTTATGTTCTACTTGAACCCAAAGTGCACTGTTTGTCAGAAATACACTCATTTTTAACTGAATTTCTCGTCCATGATATTCTGAGAGATTCAGTCGAGTCTCCCGTGATGACCAAAGTGATTTGCAAATGAGTGTATTTCTCGAAAACCCCTGACGGATAGTGTTCCCATTCACAGATCACAGAGTTTTTCCTTCGTCGGAGAGGCCACTTCTGGTTGAGGAACGGCTAGTTTCATGACGACAGGGTACGGTCGCTCAACACCTCAGCAAATCCGATCAAATTTATTATTCTATGCACTGATTACGTTCTCTCGGAACAAACCTTCGATCAGTTGCTCATTTTGAATGAGTGATGAAGGAATATGGCTTGGCGATATGTGTAGATACGTAAAAGTGACCATAAGTAAACGCAACATCTATGCAGTCTCACTGAGAATGAAGAAAAGGTTGAGAACAAAAGGTCGCAGACTATTTTGGGTCTGAAACACCTGATAGTGTGCAACCACGGTTCAATCTCGTTTCGCAGCTCTATCACAAAACGTATGTACTTTGCCTTATTCATTCTGGCAAAGCGTCGAGTTATCACGATAAATTTTACTTCACAGAAAACCGTACTTTGGTGGCAATGCTCTCATCTCCGTTTGAATAAAAGGATAGAAAAAGTGCCATTATACTCCACACAGCTGACTGAATAAGAATGGATGCACTCAGTGCTGGAAAAACCACTATTTGAGGAAAGGAAATCCAGTAAAACTTGCGCTCCCGCAGCACAGTTCAGTTGTTCAGTGGTTTGAAAACAACTGTGTTATGACAAGATAGCTTTTGACGCCCTCAGAGCACACACCATCATGGTTACTAGTGCCGCTTTTGGATGTTTAATTCAGCCTAATAAAGACGTCAGCCAGTTCCGAAATAGAGAAAACCTCAGGACACTTTTTCGAGGATTAAAACCTCGCATATGGGTATGATGCGAATTGCATTGTTTGTCATGCATACTCCTTTCCAATGGCTACAACTAGCAAACGGCTTTACCAGCGACAGTTACATCCTTCAGGAGAAAAAATCCCCAACAGAATAAAAGTTATCACTTGACTGTCAAGCAGTCGGCTAATCTCCCGTCCAAACATGACTGGAGTCTGTCAGTTGGATTGCGTCATACCAGCCGCATGATAGTCATCAAGAAATTTCTGCTTGATTTCAAGCTCCGTAGGGAAATTACAGAATCACAAGAGCCCCTGCTCCGAAACCCTAATCATGTCCTTTGTCTGTACGACGGTCAGCCGGAAACCTGGGCCGAATCTGTTCAGTCTGGAAGGTCTCCCTGTAAGCATTTTACGGTTTTCGAGAAATACACTAATTTGCTAATCAATTTGGTTTTCACGAGAGACTCAACTGAATCTCTCGTTTATGATGTTCAAGTAGAACATAAGGTTGACGGAAACTCGGGGACTGCGCCTACCTGATGAGCCTCAAGAAGGGCGAAACCGGTCGTGGGCTGTCGAAGAGTTTTCAGCAACTTTCTGCGTAGTTTCCTTCATTTTACGGTTTACATCACTGAGGTCAACATGGGTCGGTTCCTCGAGGGCTTGGCCAAGTAGCTGAGATTCGTGTCATCTAAGAAGCCGACTCATTCTTACGCGCAAAATGGCCAAAACAAAGCAAGTGTAAATTTCCGAAGGGTTGGAACATTGACAGAAGTACTAATTGCAAACGTCGATAGCACACTTTACGTTTATATGAACATAGACTACATTAGATCAGTTGATGAATAACAGCGACCTTCTTGTGATTGAATAGAATTATGTTCATTTAAGTCAGCTAAATATCCTGAGTTTCTATTTTTATAGATGCAAGAAGCAATTCGAAAGCAGTATGACACAAAAATCATGGCAAAAGAACAAGAAATATCGGAAATTCGGACACTGGTGGAAAGTCTCAAAGCGGTGAGTTTCATTTCAAACGTGACTAACACAAGTTTTTGTCGCAGAGGTTTGAAGACAAGTACGGAAATGGAGATAGCGCCCCACCCGATTCCACCACAGCTGATCAACGGGGCACTGACTTCAATCCGCCCACTCCCTCACCCTATATGAATCGCAATCGAAGACCATCCAGCGCACAAATTCGTGATCAAAACCATCTGCAAGAAGTTCTGGCCAAGCTCGAAAGTCGAGAAGAAGAGCTGGGCAAACTCAAAAGACAACTTTTCGAACAAGAAGTTCAGATCCTGGTGTAAGTGAAAACGTCACTTTTGTGGTGACATGGAAAAAGTCGCTGTTTTCTGTCGTAACAAAACTTTTTATTAGTCACATGGAAGTCACTGCATATTCGGTATCACACCCTACACAGGTTTATCAGTGGTTTTCATTAACCCTCACGAGAGATGAGGGTTAGAACATTCGACTTCTAGCAGTGGTGCCGTTTTCTGTGGAACCAGGTCGTCACCAAGCAAGAGAGCTGTTGTGAAGATAACAGTCGAGGGATTTCTTCGCGGAGAGGTCTCTACCGGGAAGCGTCATCGTAGCTCCCCATTTACCTGGGGTCCGTCAATACTGTATTCCAAACAATAGGTTAATGAACAACCAGTTCCGTTATCCTTGTTTTGGGAACAGTAACATGTTCTAAACAGTCTTGATTAAAGCCTACACAGAAACTTTGTTTTGCGAACACATCAGGTTATCAGGTGTTCTAGTCTTATTCAGATGTGCGGTTTATTAAACGATACCAGAATTTCACGACGGATAGTATTCTACTGCTTGATCGAACCGCTGAAATACAAAATCAAACATAAATTAGGTCCAGTAATCGGTAAACATTCAAGGAAGAACAAGGAAATTCACGCGAGCTAAGAAGATTTTCTGGTCATTCTGATGGACAGATGGCTCAAGAATTGCACATAGGCAATGCAGTTAGATGGAGTACCTCACTCAAGAAAAGATATGTTTAAAAGAACCAATACTGTGATCACACAATGTCACAATGTCACAATTAAAGACCCATAAAGTACAGGGGGTTGGGGAAAGGTGGCTGCACTAAAGATGGCCAATAAAATCAATTAGTACAATCTGTTTGCAATCTGGTAATCACCTGTAGTCCAATATTTAGTTCGCCTTCACCTGGGAGTTGATTGGTGGACCGCCCCAGGGTCGTGGAGTCCAATTGCGGTGGCCTTAGCTTATGCAAGTGCAAGCGTTGATTCCGGCATATGGTCCATCACCAAGACGTCGATTGCTCTGCGATCGTCACCTACATTAGCAATATACATTAACTGGATTCGTTGCCCTCAAATTGGCTGTCGGCCTGGTTTTGATATAACACCTGGAAGATCCCTGCATACCGGTCTTCCTTATTAAATTAGGATCTGTTCATATAGACTGCTCAGGTGGTATTCTTTGGTCGTAGAAAAGATCCCAGGATTGAAGCGAATTGGTCAGAGACACATTTCTCATGGTCATTTACTCCAATTCTTTTAGTTCTAAGACTCCCACACTGAACAGGTTAGGGAAAAATATGACTTTGAGTCTAGGAGATTCAATCTTGTGTCACTGGTTATTTTAATCTGGGAGCGAAAAATGTGAGCGGTCATTACAAGCCACACCAGTATGTCTAATTTGGCGCACGATTGTTGCTGGGTTGCACATCTGAAGAGTTACGGCATTTTCTTGTGTTCATTGCTCTCTGACACCAGCTGATAAAAGACCCATGAAAGACTGACCTGGCACTTGTAGGCTTTAAAGGCGGTCGTCAAGGGGCATTGTGGTAAAACTTGAGTTTGTTTCCCCCCTCAAGAGCGACCTTTTTGTCGTGCAATAATATGTTGTTTGTGCGGTCCAAAAGAAGCCTAAATAAGCCTTATTTGTACATGCATTCCGAGGTTATGGGGTAAAATTTGAGGGTTAATATTATTTGTTCGCTTTCACACAAATTATTCCAGGTTTTGTTCTCCAATGCTTTTTTGGGCAAAGAATTGGCTAGGTTAGAAAACGTTTTTCTAAAGGAGACTTACTTACACGGTTTATTCACTTCAGGGATCGGCGCGAACTTCTGAACCGCGATGAAGAAAAACAACAACTGTACGCCCAACTAGAAAACTTACGGTGAGTTTCCCATAAAATATATTTATGCCATATTTTGTGATCAAATTGGTGTTCATGTCTATGAAATCGTGTCTTCGAATTTATCCTGCCTTTTTCATTCCTCCAGCCCAATGGATGCGTTTGGTTATCTTTCGAACCAGCATTCTTGAGAAATCACATTCTTGGAAGACAGAGACTTAATCGTAAAGCACTTTTTCTTACTTTTTAAAAGCTCAAACTGTTGCTGTACCAAGGGGGACGGCAATATTCGGTTCCCGTGTCACTTTCTACCGGATAAAAAAAGGGTAACCAGTTCGTCTGAATACTTGTTTGCAGTAAGGCCGCCGAGGTTTTAGTTGAAAACCTTGAGTAATAACTTGTGCAGAAAGTGAAGATGGTTGCTAATTTTACTAGATTCGGGTAACTGTTGAGATTCTTCCTCGATTACTGGTTGGTTCAATGAGTTATTGCTAACTTCAGATTGGGATGAAGGATAAGAGAACAGAAAATGAACCTAGAAGCAGTTGATCTGTTCATTATCAGCTGCTAGTTCCATGAAAAGCACTTGGACCTAATGGGTCAGGTACACTAATGACAGGTTGAACAGCAAAATACGAGTTCCAGCACCATTAGTTGTCGTTCGAGCTGACAGCAACCTGTAACCGCTAGTCGATAAAACAGTTTTCATATGTGTGGTCTGTTAATTATTGTGACATCTGAGGACGGTAGAGCAGATTGAACTCGGTTTGTTGTCTCAACATGATATTCTGTGTACCTTAATGTGATTCGTAAGCAAAATGGGTCAGGTACACTAATGACAGGTTGAACAGCAAAATACGAGTTCCAGCACCATTAGTTGTCGTTCGAGCTGACAGCAACCTGTAACCGCTAGTCGATAAAACAGTTTTCATATGTGTGGTCTGTTAATTATTGTGACATCTGAGGACGGTAGAGCAGATTGAACTCGGTTTGTTGTCTCAACATGATATTCTGTGTACCTTAACGTGATTCGTAAGCAAAGGAGACAGAATTGTTCAAATCTTTGTAAGTAGGTCCATGGCTCACAAAGTTCACTTATGTGAAGGACTAATCCCAAATAGTCCCCTCCGTGAATAATGCTCACTAGAAACACCAGTCACCGGTGCCACCAAAATTAGGCATGAAAAATGAGGCATATATCACGAACAGTAAGTCAGAAAAATCGACCCAAGGTGAGCAACATTAATGCAATGTGCTCAGTATCGAGATTCCCTTACCGCCGCCACTCCCAACGTCGCATCTTCAAATTATGGAACAGATCTTCCAAATGCCAGATGGTCTCCAAGCATGTGTGAACCATTGAGACAATGCACAATCCTATGGGAATATCAGGTGTGGAATGCAGAATCCAGGTACCGAATTGCCATTCAAATGGACTGCTGGGAAGAATCGGACCTGGTTAATGAAACGAACACAATAATTTAGGTCGATCCCGCAAATCAATACGAAATGCCACGCTCTGCTCAGCAATTTTCGGTGAGTGACCAGCTGACTACCCGCTGCAGCAGAACTAAGCCCAAAAATGACAACACTTAAGATAATGATGTGCTACTCATATCGGAGTTATTCACTAATGCGCTGTTTAAAAGAACTTTCAATTTTCCGGAAAAAATAATGAATAAAGTGCATTTTTCTATTTTGATGACCAACCCCTTTTTGAAGACACTTCTAGGGGAAACACTGCAGCGAACACAGTTAGAATCAATACTGTTCAAGTTTTTCTAGCTCCCATTCAACTTTGAATACTCAGTCTTTCAAAACCTGTTTGTACACGCTGTTGACATTGGATTTGTGATTTTTGACACGGAAAGACCCACAGGATGTGTGAATGCAAAACCATATAAGGTCAAATTAGTTGACCTTGAGTACTTGATCATTTGTGAACTCAGCTCCCCTGTTCCTCCACTGGTACTTCAGTTTTACCCATGACTAGTACTAACTGAAGAGTTCTAACTTTATAAAAGCCATGTTTTCCCTAGGCTACGCCTGTCTACAGCCATGGCAGAAGGATCAGCAGCTGAATTGTTAAAGAACTCAACCGGAATCATTTTCCAGTAGGCCTCGTTCAGGGTAAAATATCTTCTGGCAACTTATATCATGGGATGCTACATTCAATCAGAAGTCCGTTAGGTCTCAGCCTGAGACGTGTCCAGAAGGTCCCTCGAATTCCTCCGAGTTTGAAACCACCCATCTCGGGGAGATCTTTTCATGAGCTTGCATAGAGATTCACATCTTATTATATTACGAATTGATGTTAGAGATATCGCCCGATGCGAAGATTTCGATCCGGACGATATGGGTGGTTTGCTATTGCCCAGACTCATCATCATCATCATCATCATCATATATTCACCA